GATTATAAAGAGGAGTTTTAATCTGTTAATTTGAATCAGTGATACAATAAGGTCGATTCTGACTTTTTTGAATAAATCCCTGTTCAAATTCGCTTATTCAACTGAAATTTATTATCCACTTCACAAATGATTCACATTTGTGATTCAAATCTATTAATTTGAATAAAGGATTTTGTTAGTTTGCGTCATAGTGATTCGCCCACTGAGAAAAACGGGCAGTTTGGTCAAATCAAAACTACCAGATTATGGTAAAATTTATCGTGTTTCTAGTTCTATGGGATAGGGTTCTGTAAATTTTTCCGGTGCTCTTTAGTAAAATTAACAAAAAAATATGGTTTTATAATATGTGATAAATGTGGTAAAATTTGAAAATTTTATCATGATACCTTATAGTATAGCATAAAAACCATTTATATTTTAGCTTTTTATTTTTAACTAAATATGTAGTAATAAGAACTAAAGCTTTGAAAACTAGAATTTCCGGTGTTCCGGTAAATTATATGAACGGAAAAATTACCGATTGAGTGATTTAAATACTGAATATTTTGGCTTTATTAACCAAAATTATGTTTTTTTTTTCTTTTTTTTTTTCTTTTAGCATAAATGTCATAACTATATAGTACGGTAATTTTCACAGAAATGTTTTATTTTCGAACATCAATTATGTGCTTTGAAATTGCAATATGAAGAAGTCAATTAGAATAAAATTTTAATTAATTCATTTTGTCTCTTATTATTACCTGTTAATACGGTTCCTTTGATTCGTTTAATATTAATTGTTTTAAATAAAGACTAGAATTACTTTATAGATTCAATTTAATCTAACAATATAAATTTATATTTGAACCAGTTTCATTAATTTCAACATTTAAACTTGTAGCATCTTCTTTAAGTTAGAGGAAATTTTTTTTTTAATTAGCCATTCATAGTTCAATTCACTTAGAAAGGCAGTCTGTTCACTCTAACAGCAATTTGCTTACACTACAGATTTGGTGGAAACAAATCGCATTTAAAGTAACTTACTTTACGAATCACTCGAAGTAGTTACTATTTAAATCGACGAAAATAAATATTATATTTATTTAAAGAATTTGAAGAACAGAATTCCAATCCGTTTGTCGTTTTCCTTGAGATTTTCCAACTCGTATATAAAAAAACTGCTTCAAATCTTAAACAGCACCGCTAGTCATTTAATATTTTTTTCTTATTTTGACGGAAATTTTTTTGACCAAATACAAAAGTTTATCATAAAGCATTCAATGTCTACAGCTTTAGATACGAAACAATCAATTCATTTTTTTGCAAGATTATCGTCCATTTTCTATGATTTAATGACAGAGCGAGTACTTCTCTAATTTACTTTATCAATTAAAAAAAAAAAAGACTCCTTCTCAACACTGAAACATTTCAGAAAAACACCAGACAATAAATAATTAATGTTTTTCTTTTTTTTTTCTAAAGAGCAGTAAAATATGATAAATACGTGACAAATGTTTTCACTGAATCAAATGAGTATAGATATAAATGTGTCATTAATTTAACAGATATTTAAGAATGAAACATAAGAATTATTTTTAATTTCGCAGAGTTAGCACTTCTATATAACAGTGTCCATTAACAATTCTATCGAACTAATAATTCTATATAATAGAGAAGTATAAACTTCTATAAAACAGTGCCTAAAATACTGATATTTAAGAAGAAAAAAAATTTTAATTATAAATTTAAAAAAAATATTTAAATTTTATTGAGTGACATGCGAGAGCTCTTGAAATAGAGGGATTCCGGATAAGTGCTTCATTTCCCCATGCGATAGTTAGTCTTTGACCATACCAAATGATCCTGCGGTCAATACGAATATCCCGACAACAGTGAAAAACAGTTTTAGACTATGAATCATGTTTTTATGTAATATAACGATAAACAAAATTGAAAAGCAGCTTTTAGCACAGGCGACTTAATAGAAATGTTGGCGATAGCCGGTGTTGGCGATTATATCCTTCTTCCATCCGAAACAGATCTTCGGTTAGACCAGGGATGGGGAAACTACGGCCCGCGGGCCAACTGTGGCCCGCCGGAAGGTTTTATCCGGCCCGCGGATAGAATTTTAACTTGCCGATCCGTGGCAAATATAGACAATATTCATCCATTTTCTTGTCGACTTTGTTTAAAGCTATTTCTGTTCTTTCTTTTTTAACTAAGTACTGATGACCTTTTTACTTTCTCTATTTTTGTTCTACAAAACATAAATTGATGGAAATAGTTAGCACAGACAGCTTCAATTGGTAAAATGTTGAAAGCAGAAGTTCTTTATAGAATAGCCGTAGATTGGGCTCCAACTAGCGTTTGTCTTTCTCGAGGAGCAGACTTATGGAATCTAATATAGGTGAATTGTACTTCACATGTGGCAGACTGCGCATTTTAAGCTTCAACGAGCGGACATTCTAACAATCATCTGAAGCAGTTGTTTCTAAATAGTCAGAGTTTGAATTTTGCAAATCATTACCAAAAGCTAGTTTCCAAAATTTAATATTTCATGCCTAGAAAATCAGTGCTATGTTTGCTTAATCTTATGTTAACAAGAGTTTTCAACTATGAAACAATTATTTCAGAAAAAATTATTTCAGAAGTAGATTAACAGACAAGCATTTAGCCTCGTTCCTTAAAATAAGCACATCTCTCATCGAACCTCAATATAAGGAACTTTTAAAANGCTGCCACACGGCGTGGCATAGACCGATAAAGCTCCCGGATGGTCTCTTGCGGTATTTCCTGCCAAATTCGATCCAATTGTCGAACGAGGTCATCAACATTCCGTGCCAGATGCAATCGCCTTCCCATCATATCCCAGACATGCTCGATGGGAGAGAGATCTGGTGATCTGGCAGGCCAAGGTAGAGTTTGACAAGCTTGCAGACAGTTCATAGCAACACGTGCCGTATGTGGTCTGGCATTGTCCTGCTGAAAAGCCAGCCCAGGGCGCTGCAAAAGGAACGGTAGCAAAACAGGTCTAGGATATCGTCGACGTACCGCTGAGCAGTAAGTGTACCTCTAATGACGACCAAATGGCTGTCAAAGGAAATGGCACCCCAGACCATAATGCCTTGTTGAGGGCGGGTGTGGCGTGTAATAGTGAAGGCAGGATCCCCCTCTGCCCTTTGCGTCTCCAAACACGTCTTCGATGATCGTCAGGACACAGTTGGAACAACACCTCCTAGAATAAGGAAGGCCTCAGCACGGATCAAATTAGTAGTCCGATGTGACGAAGTTAACTGCGCAGTTGATGAAAAATAAGAAAGATGTCATTACGTTCAGGGTACTAAGCTGCGCAGTGGTTGAAAATACGAAATAAGTCATTATGTTTGGACTACTAAAGGATATTTATGGTAACCCGTGCAGAGGCCTACTCTTTTCTAGGAGGTGTTGGTTGGAAGCGGGGTTCGTCTCTAAAGACTATACGTCCCCAGTCGGCATCATTCCAGCCATATCTGTTCAAAACATTCATGCATACGAAATTTCAAAGCAATTGGATGATTGCTTCTTCTTGGTGCGTCGATTTTTTTGTTATAGAGTGTAATATAACGATAAACAAAATTGAAAAGCAGCTTTTAACTCAGGCGACTTAATAGAAATGTTGGCGATGGCCGGTGTTGGCGATAATATCCTTCTTCCATCCGAAACAGATCTTTGGTTAGACTATTAGTACCCCATTCTCGTCCGGCTAACCGAGGGAAGTTTTTGTAATTCTCCTTTCCTGTGTTAAGTCTGTTCTGCGGTTCTCCTGTCCCTGTAATGCGGTTTTACTCACAAATTTCTTGAAGACAAGCTTCCTCTTAACTCAAAATTGCTATGTCTTGATACTTGATTTAGTTCTCTTGTCTTCTGAGATCAATTTAAAATTAACAGAAAATGTAGAGTTCTCTAATTTTTTAAAAAATAATTTTTTATAGTTAGATTAAAAAAATTACAATGAAAAGTTTCCTTGTCTTCCAAGATCAACTCAAAATTACAAGTTATTGCCTCAAATACACAATAAAAAACAAGCTTCTTAACGATGGCGATAGAATCAAAAATTATTTAAATTTAACAACACTAGATTGATTGAGCAATTCTATCAATCTGATAATCAGTTATTTTTCACTGATCCTTATTTTAAATTCTTCAATTCAATTGAATTTCAATTTAATTCAATAGAAGAATCCTGAAATGGAATGAAATTCTTTAACTTCATTCCATTTCACGATTCAATTTTTCTTCCATTTAGACAATTTATTAAGACTATAAAATTTAGGTAGTATGAAAAATAATATGAATGCAAATAACTTAAATAATAATAACTCTGATCATCAACTCCCGTACAAATTGCCTCACCCGTTTTTCATTCACAAATTGATTAATCAATTTATTGAATAACTCATTTCCTAAGTAACTGATTAGTTAAAATGTTTGATTTGCCGGTTGTCTGGTTCATTCATTCCTTGATTCGCTTTCTTGCTTTTCCCCTTACTTTATTCACTCGCTATATCAATGTAAAGAATAAAGAAAAGATAATTCTCTAAGTTAAAAAGAGGGGAATTATTATTTCTCGTTATTCTTGGTTTCAATTTACCATTTTCTTATCTGTCTATATATTATGTCTAATTTAATTGCAATTGTTTTTAAACTCATTTTGCAAACTATTCAAATTTATAATTTCTATTTATTTATTCCCTGATCTAGATTGAGAATGAAGTTGTATTTCTCATCAAGCTCTAATCTCTTTTACACGAACCAATTTCTAATTATAGTGACTAATTAATTATAACTACTGTCGACATAGTTTTAATAATTGTGGTTTTTCGCAAAATAATCTCACTTTCGAAGAAAATTACCTAAATATGCAAACGATTTCTTGATTTAATTCTTTTGACGTCAATCTGTCGCCAACAATATCGGTCGGCAGAGGTCACTTCCGGTTTATTAGGTCATTCTTCGGCTTTAGGGTAAACCAAAAATTCCGGTAGTAGGGTGGGAGATAAAATAATAAATGAAATGAGAAAAACTTGAATATTATTTGAACTTGAGCGCCACCTGCGACTTTCAAAGAAGCAGAAGAACTTTTTAAGTTCATTTATTTATACTCACCTGCTGCCACCTTCTACGAAGTAAGTTTTTAAATTTCTTTTAATAGCTCTCGTATTCTAAATTGTATTCTTACAGTGCAATTGGAATTTTTTTCCCCTCAGTAAAATGATTTGATTATCTTTTTTTTCTTCTGTTATCCAAAGCTAACGGCAAAAGAACAATTTTAATTTTACCATCACGCTTTCATTAAACCTGTCTTGCATACTTTAACAGCTCTTCAAAATGATTTATGATTCTCACTTCATAATTTATTTTTTTATGTTTTATATTCTCTGTAATAGTTATTATTCAAGTCCAAATATAATTAATATTTATTTACAATGAAATGTACAGTTTAGAACGAAAAATGAATGTTACTTTAAAGACTTTTGCTTACTAGAAAAATTTGAAAATTTTGACTTATTTTTGCAATTTTACAAGATTTTGCTGTAGGGATTTTGGTGTTTACGTAGTTTTGCCTTATTAAAAGTTTACGGTAAAAAAACAATTTTAAATTTATCCTCACACTTTCATTAAATTTGTCTTGCAAACTTTATCTACTCTTCAGAATGATTTATGAATTTTACTTCATAAATTTATACGGTGCAAAATAATAATAATAATAATTTTTTTCTTTTTTACTAGCAAAATTTAAAAATTTTGACTTATTTCTGTAATTTTACCAGATTTTGCTGTAGGGATTTTGATGTTTACGTAGTTTTGCCTTATTAATAGTTTACGGTAAAAAAGCAATGTTAATTTTACCCTTCCACTTTCATTAAATTTGTCTTGCAAACTTTATCTACCCTTCAGAATGATTTATGAATTTCACTGCATAAATTTATATGTTTATATACTTGGGGATATTTATTAATATTATCCGAAAATAATCATTTTGATACACAAATAATTTGTACTTCAGTAAGAAATATCCATTTCATTTATAAATGTTACTTTTATGATTTTTGTTACAGGGAAAATTTAGCAAATGCAAATCTTGCAAACATTTATTTATGCAATTTTCGAGTTATTGTGGTAATGATTTCGGTGTTTCTGCACTGAGAAAAATAGAATAGTCAAAACTGCAAGAATGCGGTAAAATATACCGTGTTTCTGGCTCTAAGGGAACAATAAGCTCGATAATTTTTACCGAAGCGCGTTGTTTATGATTTTGGTAAAATTTAATATGGTTCTATAATATGTGATAAATGTGGTAAAATTTGGTAATTTTAACATGATACCTTAGTGAATGTCATAAAAACCAGTTATTAGATCAGATTTACTTTTTAGTTTTATATTTTTAACTAAATGTGAGTTTTAGAATTATAATTTTGAAAACTAGAATTTTAGATAAACCGTAATTATATGGGCGGTTAAATTATCAAATTAATGGTTTAAATACCATATATATTAGCTTTATTAACCAAAAGTATTACTATTTTTTTAAACAAAAATGTCGTTACTATACAGGACTGTAATTTTACCAGAAATGTACTCACAGCGTGTAATTTTGCCAACAAATCTTGCCTTATAAACTAACTTATAGAAATTATTTAAATTTTACAATCACGCTTTCATTTAATCTGTTTTACATATTTAATCAACTCTTAATCCAGAATAATTTATGATTTTTATATCATAAATGTGTATATTTTTTTATCTTCGGAGATCGTTCAAATCAAAACATAATCAAGATTTAAATGTAAGAAAATATATTGTTTAGTTGGAAAAGTACCTTTCAGTTAATGTTTCAATTTTTAAAATAAATGGAGACTGACGCAAGTTAAATCTATCGAGGTTACAAAGTCCTCCAAGTTTTCATAACAAATCAACACCTCTGGGACATTGAGAGGAACGATCAATACCTCTGAATTGATCATTCTCCTGTTTAGGTCAAAATTACGATCTGTGGATGAATAAATGAATGCATGAGTGAATCCGAACTATAAACGGGCTGTGACGTTTGTGTGACTGAAGTTGTATTCTTGGCCATAGATGGCGCCACTGAAAAACAAGAAACGCACCCTTTTCCTTAAAATCGATTACTTTCCCATAACAGGCTTGCAGGTATTATAGCATTAGTAGCAGCAACAAAAACTCTTAAGATTTTTGTTTGCAGGCAAAATTGGCACTTGCATTTCATTTTTAAAAAAAATGACTTTAAATTTTAAAGCAATCAATTACGAAATAAGAAAGTGGATTGTCATTTTACAATTTAACGTAAGAAAAGGGTTCCTTCAAAATTAAAAACAAGGAATATTTCATTGATAATATAATATTTTATTATTTATTTATTCTTTTTTATTTATTTTTTTATTTGTTTATTTTTATTAATTTATTTTTATTTATTTATTTTTTTATTTTTCATTTATTTATTTATTTTTTCCTTTTTTTATTTAATTTTTATGCGTTTAAAAAATAAAGAAAATTTTTTTTAATAGTTTGTTGCATTTTTTGGCGACTTTTCGCTTTCACCTGGCAAACAGAAAAGTACCAGTTTTAGATTAACACAGATTAACACATTTAGATTAACACATTTTATCATACAAAATCAAAATCTATGAGCTTATTTTCAAAGTACAACTTGACAAAAATAACTTCGTGTTGTATTTTAGATGATATACCATTATTATTATTGTAATTCATATCTATTTCTCTTTTCTTTGAATTAGATCCATCAGCATTTCAATAAGCTAGCATTTTTCAGAAGTAATGTTGCATAACATTTAAATATAAAACGAATTAAATCCATTAACATATTTTGTTGAAAATATTTTGCACAATACATCCTATTCATTTTTTAAAAAATGTCTATGTAATAGTACAAAGTGCCTAGTGCGAAGTGTAATAGTGCCTTAATTATAATTTTTTTAAATTTATTTAAAAATTCTAAACGTCTCATATTTTTTTAGGTCTGTTTAAAATACTCAGACATAAATATAATTTCAAAAGTTTCAGCTCAATAACATATTGAAAATATAATTGGCACATTGTGCTTTTTTTTTAAAAAAAAAATAGTAAAATTAGGTTGCATTTAAAAGATTTGAATTGTGGTTTTTAATACCAAAAAGTAGCTACATTTGTGCAATCATTATAATTTATAGTATTTTACTTACCTGCGTTGCTTGGAAATTGTATTTTATAAACTTATAAAGTTTCAACGATAATGAGTCAAAAGTTTATTCTTGGAAATATCTCTTAATACTAATCTATTAATTCGCGGCTTTATATTTATTCTATGAAATAACATTTATTCACTGTGGAGCATTACACGCGTAATTTTAGATTAATAAGAATAAAATATTGAAATTAAAATATTTAAAACATAACTCTCTTTTTTTTAATTATTATTTTCTTTTTTTTTTTAGGAAATGTAATCACAACCTCTTGATTCTCATTGCGAGGTTGCCCATGTTATAAGTTCTAAAGTAATTAAGCAAATTAGTGGAATTTCTTAATGGTTTTATTTTCATTTTAAGTTTTCTTGAAGAAATTGGCTTCACAATTCAGAATCTGTAACATTTCTTAAGGCTTTTAAGATTAATTATTTATTATAACCATTTTCTATTTTACTTTCAACTTAGTCCGATTTGTAAGAGAAACTAAATTTTTCAGATATTTCTGATGCTGCCATCTAGTGTAAATTTCTGGAATTATTCAAACAAATCAAATTTCCTTTCATATATCTTTTATCCAAAGATAATTTCAACTAAAAAAAAAAAATTAATTTTTCTAACAGAATAATATTCTGATAAATTTTGTGCTATTTATTATTATTTAATTTAATAATGATTGAAGATGTTTTGAACTGTGAATAATACAAATTTTCACTTAATTTTAAACTAAGTTACAAGGGCGGTGCCAGTAGGGGGTCAGAGGGGGCAATTGCCCCCCCCCCTATCGGGACGAACTTAAGTGTCGTCGGAAAACACTAACACTACCGTCTTGAAAAGAAATATAATTACATTATTAAAAAAAATCTAGCTTTTTTAATAAATTTTTTTTGTTTATTTTTTTATTTATTTATTTTTTCGTAGATGAGAATAAATAAAAAAAATTAACACGAAATGTGTTCTTTTAACTTGCACATTACCAATAAATTCCTGTTCACTTTTCCTCACAAAATTCTGAGGGACAAGTATTTTGTTTGTCTCCATATGGAAAGGTATTCAACACCCCTGAGGGATAAGAGGAAACAAGATCACTGTCCTTCTTTAAGAATATTTTATTATAGAATCTTTAGAGAATATTTTATAGAATCTAATCAAACCTACAAGTGCTATTGCTGAGATTTCAAGAAATACTCATTTATTTTTTGAATGGGGAAAGATATTGTACGATGCTGTACGTATATATATTGTACGCACGTGCAAGATAGTGTACGTATACAAATGTTTCGAAATTTTATTAATGGCTTACAGCACAAAAAAGAAGTACAAAAAATTAAAAAGGATAATTTTAATGGATATTTCACATTTTTAATAAAATGCGCATAAGTTTTAATTTTCAAAAATTACTAACAAGAAAAAAAAATAGCGGTCCTTCTCATTAGTAATATCCTTATAAATTTTGAATTCCGACAGGATCTGAAGCCTTACCAATCCCGAGCCTTCACAGTCCATAGTTGCATTTTGGGTTTCTTTAAGGATCCCGAGCCTTCACCGTCCATAGTTGCTTGTTGGGTTTCTTTAAGGATCCCGAGCCTTCACAGTCCATAGTTGCATGTTGGGTTTCTTTAAGGATCCCGAGCCTTCACTCTCCACAGTTGCATTTAGGGTTTCTTTAAGGATCCCGAGGCTTCACCGTCCACAGTTGCATTTTGGGTTTCTTTAAGGATCCCGAGCCATCACTGTCTACGGTAGCATGTTGGGTTTCTTTAAGGATCCCGAGCCTTCACAGTCCATAGTTGCATGTTGGGTTTCTTTAAGGATCCCGAGCCTTCAATGTCCACAGTTGCATTTTGGGTTTCTTTAAGGATCCCGAGCCTTCACTGTCTACGGTAGCATGTTGGGTTTCTTTCAGGATCCCGAGCCTTCACTGT